GTCAAAATGTAAGCTGTTACACAACCTGTTATAACACAGAGAGTTCTGTTTCATAAATAGCCGTTTTTTACAAAGCAACTGTTCTCATAAATAAGTTTAGATAATACTTTTAATTTTATCTATTGTGATGGATATTTTGGCAAGGGATACTGATATGCTAATTTCTGCGTAGTTGAACGTGTCTTTACCTTGTGATATGAAACATATTTAATTGATGTTGGACCCAGAAATGAGCCACCTACAGAACCACTCAGGCAGACAAGCAGACCAGTGGATGGAAAGACTGACAAAGAGAAAAGTATGAACAGACAGCACTCAAATTAAGTGATTTTGTAATTGCAAATAAAAGTGATACAATTTGCTCTGTCATTTAAACAGCTAGGTTCAGCGGCCCGGCAAGGCTGGGCTGAAGTAAAGGTAAATATTGATCTGGATTTCAATTCTGCTGTTTAGATTTTGAACCTGTAGATTAGGGTGCAGCAGTGAGTTTTGCAAACTAGCATTAATTGCATCTATCAATCATATTTTCAATAAGATCCCCCCAGTGCCCAGTTTACATGCAAATTATCATGTTTCTACATGAAAGACGGGAGTGCTTTATTTTTCCCTGTCTTTTATTTGCACGGAGGAGAAAATTGAAGATATGGGAAATTGTAACATTATGTATTTTCAAAAATTATATTTGGGAGAGCCGGTAATAAGAATGTACTATAAGTGGCAGTCCTACAGTGCTAGAATACATAGTGCAGAGAGATAGAAACTAACATTAAGGACACTTCACCTGTAGTTTCCTCAATCAGTAGATGAGTAGGGGAGAGAGAGAGAGACAGGGAGTGAGGGTGGGAGGGAGGGAGAGAGAGACAGGGAGTGAGGGTGGGAGGGAGGGAGAGAGAGAGAGAGAGAGAGAGAGAGAGAGAGAGAGAGAGAGAGAGTGAGAGAGGGAGAGAGGGAGGGAGAGAGAGAGAGAGAGAGGGNGTTAGCCAGACACAGGGGAGAGGGAGAGAGAAAGAGAGAGGGAGGGAGGGAGGGAGGAAGAGAGAGAGGGAGGGAGGGAGGGAGGGAAGGAGAGAAAGACAGGGAGGGAGGAAGAGAGAAAGAGGAGAGGGAGGGAGAGAAAGACAGGGAGTGAGGGTGGGAGAGAGAAAGAGAGAGAGTTGCTGAATTACTGCTTTTTTAATAGACAATTTAATTTTTCTATGAATTGATTGCCTCTGTCAATTATCCACCCATCATATGAATGGTGTGATCAACAACATTGTTTTTAGCACTGTGGTTTGAATAAAGATTAACTGGAATCATGTATACAATCAATAGTTTGTAAATGTTTTATCAGGCCATTTGAAGAGTAGTATGAAAGGTCAGTGTATAGACCACAATTTGAATGTGATTTAGATAAAGGATTCATAATTTCCTGACTTAATTCTATATTGACAGATATATTGATAGGTGGCATTCATTGCTGGCCTGAGAAACTTTTTTCAATAATGAAAAAGAAGAAAAAGGGGAGAAGATCTTACAATTTAATTGTAACAGTTGCCAATGTGTAGTGTATGATTTAATAATATGACTACAGTAAACTCGTCTGTTTATTACTGCAAATAACTAATACTATATTTTTAATGTTGTATTTTTCTAACTTTGAGGTGCCAAATTATGGTGCAGCCCTGTAGCCAGCAATTTCAAAGGGCTGGGTAGCTCTTTATCTGAAAAAGTGGACCTTTTACCATGAAATCATTGTATACCTAGATCAAATTTTACCAAGAGCAGATCTTTTCTTGGCAAAAAGGACGGTTCTTTCAGATCCCCTGAAACTCCTCCCTGGCTCAGGCTTTGTGACAATGGTGTCAGTGCTTAGTACAAGCCACAAAAAAAGTGCCACAATCGTAAAAGAGATAAATTACTATAATATCTTAAAGCATATGTTGTTAAGTCTCCCAAAAGATGAATATATAACCTTGGAAACAGTTTGGCAGCACCTGATCAATAGTAATATATCTTGTAGACAAGAGATGATAATTACGCAATTCTGTGATCAAATTTGAAGATTATGCCAATGGTTCTGGCGACCAGATAGACGAGCATTTTGGGACCTCTTTCTGTGTGCCCCTGGCGTAATGAAATCCAGATGAAAGAGAGAATAACAAAAAAAGTCTTGGTGATAGACTGCCTAATAGCATTATGACATTACTTGTCTTGGGAAATAATTATTAAATGAGATTATGTGTTGAAGGTTTCCACGAAATATCCTGAAATGGAATAATGTCAAGATTCCTTGTAGTATTATATTTCTAAGATAGTAGCCCAGTGACAATTACATTTAAGAAGAAATATGAATTGAGTAGACAAGAAGGCTTATTTTTGCTTAATTGACAGAGTTGAGTAAAAATGGTCCATGATATATGAGGAGGATCTCCACAGAAATTGTATAAGGATATAAGTTATCCTTCATATAATTATGGATGAAACTTTTGCAACTTTTGTCAGAATTCTGACTTTTTCAGGGTCGTTTGGGTCATTCTTGTGAATCGTGTAAATCTGGTGAATCGTGTAAATCCTAGTTTTTCAGTGAGGACTGGTCTCATGCCTGTGTAATTGTGATGATATTAGTTTTGATTGTCATACAGAACTTAATATAAGTAATGCCACATTAGGCTACCAAAATGCAACACACACACACACACACACACTCACACACACACACACACACACACACACACACACACACACATGTGTAAAATACAAATATCATTAATAAATTTTGTAGTTATCCCCCAAAAAATTTTTTTATGTTCATGTAAAAAATGTACATGTTCTTTAATAGAAGACCCAAATTTTTCCCTCTTTCAAGCCTAAATATGATGGTAAAGCCATGTTTTCTGTCTGCATTTCTTTTAAAGTGAATGTAGAATATGTGGAATAGAACATTTTACAGATACCATTATATCAAGGGAAAAAAATGGAGATTGCAAACATCATTATTGAAAACAGATTGGATACAGTTTTTCCCACATGCAGTAGGCATAGGATAGTTGAAAATACTTCATTGGACATGATAAGCTCGTCTTTTTGAAGTGTAGGAAATAAATTGCTGTGGAATCTTAATGTGGATTTGGGGTATTTTGCTAAACTACCTTTCCTTTTTTCTGATCTTTATCTCAGTTCTCTCCATTATCATTTTGTGGTGTTTTGGAATATCAAAAGAATGCAATACTTTATCCTGAATGAAATAATTGTAAGATCACTGGGGATTAACTAGCCTACTGGCTTCGTTCAAGAAGCAAGGTAGAGGTGTGAATTCCTTACTTTAGTCATTATTCCTCATGGAATTTCATGTAGACTTAGTACATATCAATTAGTCTTATGAGAAGAATATTTCTGTAAATGTCAGAAAATGAGAAAATAGTTTTTTTCTTCAGATGGGTATTGGTCTTTACACAAAGAGAAATGGATGTTATGCATGCATGTTACATATTTGTCATACAAGTTGAGGCATTATTTGATTGTTTTCAAATTAGAAGTTTTAAAAAATAAATCAAGTCCACTACACAGAAATTAGGTGTTTGTTTTATGTGTAAAAAAAATAAATTTGTTATTTTCCTTTATTTACCAAGGTATACATTCAAATAAATGAAATAATACAATAAAAACATGTTTATGATTTTATGTTTTTCTTCTTTTTTTTCCTTTTTTTTCTCTATGTTATTAATATAATACAATAGAAATTATTGTCAAGACTGTTATTTTAAAGTTTTTCATATGCTCATGTTTTATTTTATTTTATTTATTTATTTATTTATTTATTTATTTATTTATTTATTTTTATTTATTTGGGGGGGGGCGTGAGGGCTCATTGACTTGACATTGAGTACTTCCCCTTAAAAAATGAAACATTTCATTGTTCGAAAATTATGAGTAAAAATTCTGATATACAGAAGGAATTATCTGGGTTTGCAGACACAGTTCATCAGGTGGAAGATATTGCTTTTGATCTTTTGTCTCACTCTTCAGTAGATGGTTAACTGCTTTTGAGATATGTTGAGAATTATTAAGCTTCTGGTTGGAGGCTTGAGGTTCATTGTACTTTTAGCAATAGAACGGAAAAGCAAAAATACATGTTGGTCAATAGAGTTTTTCTGGTTTTGCTGGATTACTGAATCTTTTGTGTGCTTCACAGGAAGCTAGCAAATTCTTTTGAAGTAAAAATAAAAAAGACTTAAATTATGTTTTCAAGCACGTTTAGAAATTCTGTGATTAATTTTTGCTACTGTAATTCATTAAACACACCACATTAACATTCATACTTGAACATGGTTATGTTTTGCTAATGTCTGTGTGAATTGATTGAAAAGCTCCTGAGAATGCGTATTTGTTCAGTGATGAATTCGTTTCAGTAAAGACCATGTTGTAACCAGAGCACATAACAGAATGTTTGCCAAATATATTGTTTCCATGAATTTTTAATGAGATTGCCTACAGAGTTTTGCCAACACAGGAAAGGTTAATTTAGATTTGCAATTGATTTGTCTTCAACTTTTCATAAGTTTAGAATCTAATGAAGACAGAAGCAGTGATAACGTGTAGATTTGCGTTTGTTTGTATGTAAAACGCTGTGCTGGTATGTGACTGTGATGTTTGAAGTCATCAGAGGCCTGCCATGCTTAGTCCCAGTAATGTGAACAAAAAACCAGACCAGACTGGTTCATCAACTTTTCTTTAAGGTTAACTGTATTAATGACCAAATCCCATCAAACTACTTGATTTGTCAGATTTTTCAGCAGTATCAACCATCATCTTGTTTTTTGGATGACTGTCTTTGTTCTTAAGGCTACAGATTCAGTTTCATTATTTTTTAGATGCATATATTCAGGTTTACATCTTGCCTTCAACAGTAGATAGTTTGGGGAAATGATTTTTTATCACAATTTGAGATGATAAAGAAAATTCAAATAATAAACTACAGATACAGATATTTTTGTAGGAAAATATATTTACTTCCACCAATAGCAAGCTGCAGCAGCAGCAGAACATGATTACAGAACGCAATGAAAATTGTTGATATTTTTGAATATTTTTCACTTGGGTATGGTATATCACAACAGAACCTTTTAAAAGTGCTACAGTTCCTGTTTGTTTATTTGTTTGTTGTTTTTTTTTCTGTGGATTACAGTTCCACATAAATGCATGTCAGTATCCTAAATAGCAAGAGGGTTAGGAGCAACTAAGAATAAAGAGAAGTACTGAGATGTTAATGTTTGAGAAGGCTCAGGAAGTGTGATTGAAACACTTGGGCAATTTATGATGGCAAATCTGCAGCTAGCAGAAACCATTTGCTGTAATGATTCTTCCTTTGATCAGCATGATTGAGGTCTTTATAATAGGACATCTGATTGCACTATGAACGAACTGACAGAAGATGGCTGTAATTTATGGGGGGTTAAATCGCACCATGGGCATTGCAAGACGGAAAGGGAGGTAAATTGATTTCACCATGACAGGTTTCTTTCACAGGAAACTATGAGATAGAAGTATCTGATTTTTTTTTACTGGTTGACGTATCATACGAAATAGAAGCTCTGCAACAATAGTATTAAAGAATTGTCTGCCATATTACTTTGCCAGGGCTACTATGTCTCCTATGGATGTCATTGCCCTGGCTAAAAATTCAGTTCCTTTGTGATAAACAGTCAAATGATAGAACATTTATGTCTTTGGCATTTCTCAAATGACCGAGGTTAAATTTTTCAACCCAGTAATCCTTCACATTGCATTACCATAAACTGTAAGGATGTCTTATGGCTTTTTTCCGAAACAGTCATCACCAAGCAAAACATTTAAATATAAAGACCTTAAAGAGATCATGAAAAACAGGAGGATACATCTTTCCTTTTATTGAAGCAGTTAAGTTGAAGAAATATATATCTTGACATAAAGTTGTTGCGACTGCTGTAATCCATAATGGTATTGCACATTGTCTACATTAAATTATTACACAATATTTCCATAGTGTCACCTCCTGCGTTGATGTGGTCCTGCCTTTGTGCAGCAAATTATGTGTTGAAATGCTCTCCTGAAGTCTTTGTTGAAAAGGGTATACAGTATAGGGTTCAGTGCAGAGTTGGCATAGCCCAGCCAAATGAGAAATGTCTGCAAGTTCACATCAATATTGCAGTCTTTGCACCAACTGCGGGTAATATACATGGCAAAGAATGGGAGCCAGCATACGATAAAGCAGGCTACGATCAATGCCATGCGCTTCGTAGCTCGCATCTCGCGATACTCAAAGCGACGTTGCTGGTGAGATACTAATGTAGAGGAATTTAAGGAAGATTTCAGTTTATTTGCTCTTAACTTTGACCTGTGCCTTTTTCCAACAGGTGTATGTCCGTTTGATTTTGATCCTTTAATTGGTTTTGGTTTCTGTGGCAAATTTAAACTAACTTTTCTTTCTGATTTTTTCTGTTTCTCCATACTACCATTTGTCTGTGAGGCCAGGGAATCAGTCCTGCCTCTTGTTTTCTTAGACAGGGAGCTTGGTGAGCCACCACTCTCAGCATACGTCATCTCAGTATTACACTGAGTGGTGGAAAATTCTGAATTAGAAATCTCTACATGACTCAAATCAAAAAATGCTGAGTCAGCAGATTTAGTCTGTGAGTGTTCCTCCTGGATAGAGCCCAGTGTTGATCCTTTACTACACAGTTTCCTGTCTGGAGATGGACTGCGTTTTATCACGGGACGTAACATGTCCTTTGCTGGTATAACGAGCAGTCCTCCATGATTATTATTCCCCGTGCCGTCAGATTTACTGTCAGTGAAGGCAGAGAAGTTATTGGTGTCGGTAGAGAAGGCTGGAGAGGCTGGCGACTCCACAGTATCACTTGGACTAGGTGGTGGTGTGCTCTCATTGCTTCCAATACTTGAGGAGTCTCCTGATGTCATATTGGAGCTATCTGCTTGAGTATGGAGGTCCTGCGTGGCCGGTTCCAGCTCAATACTGGGGATGCTCTTTGCAGATGGAGTGCACGAGCTGCGTTTGCTCGCTGCACGATTATGCACCATTCTTGCGCGTCTTAGTTTGCGTGCCCGTTTTTGTAACTCAAAGAATATCTTGATGTAAATTAACAACATGAGGATAAATGGAATAAGAAATGATCCTGATGCAGAGTACATGACATAACCATGATCTCTGAACAAAATGCACTGTAGCTTGCCGTTCTGGTCATAGTCCAAAAAGTCATTGTTTTGCATGTCATCCCACATAAAGAACGGTGGCACAGAAATAGCAATGGAAAAAATCCACACAAAGGCAATGTAGGCAGCTGCTCTGTTAACTGATTGGCGCTCTCTGTACCACACAGGGTAGACTGTTGCTGTGAACCGATCCACTGCTATGACACACAGTCCCCATATGGAGGCAGTACAGATGAGGACATCCACAGAGAGCCAGGTGATACACATGACTTTCCCAAATACCCAGTGTCCCAGCATGTCATAGACTGCAGAGAATGGTAGCACTGTCACAGCCAAGAGGAAATCACTCACTGCCAAGTTACCAATGAGGTAATTGTTAATGTTCCTCAGTGAGGTGTACCTGCAGAGGGCAGCCCAAACCAAGATGTTCCCCACCACTGTCCACAGGATCATGGCAAAGAAACAGATGGAAACAAGCACCAGGGGCACCCCATTGTACCTCTGCACCCATGTGCTGTTCTTTGATTCGAGAAAAATGGATGAGAAATTGGCAAATTGTTCCGAGGTACTGTTGTCGGCAGTTACTGATGGAATCAACATCATTTTCTGATTGATGTCATTATTGGGTATTGAAAGAGCTGTTCTTTGTCAGTTGAACTGTAATCTGGACTGTAGCCTAGATTACTGCTGCTTAATCCAACAGCACTGGTTCATCTCCATCCACCAGGCAGGAGATAGAAACTGAAAAGAGAGAGAAGAAGAAATGTGAACAATGTGTAGCAGCCAGTTTTTGCAGTCAATGCCGTTCTGTGGACGTTAGTTCCTTTGGCAGGCGTATTATTTCACATTAATTACGCTAATGTCTATACTGCAGCCTGTAGAAAGCATCCAGTCTTGAGATCACTGAGAATAAGAGATGTGAGTGTGAATTCCTAGTAATCCCAGGTTAAAAACCAGTGCAAAAGTGCTGCACGTTTGGGTGAATGACAGCAGTTTTCTATTAATAAGAAGCCAACAATAAGTGGCAACCTTTAAATGTATAATTTCCCCCACTATTCTGTGTGGGTAAAAAATTTGAACTGAATAATTTATATGATATACTTATGCAATATTTACTCAAGCTGTTGCAGTTTTTTAATAAGGATTTGTGGTTTAGGCACATTTGTATAAAGCTTACAGCCTTAAGATGGTTTACAAAGTGAATAAATCTTTCAAAAACAAGACATCCTTTGTGTAATATGCTAACCCCATTCTTCACATACAATACATACACGTTTTCTCACTAATGGGCAAACAGTCCACTTTTTCCCTTATTTTATTCCTCTTAATTGCTATGTACTTCAAGTAGTGACCTGGCTTCATAGAGAATAGATCTTGAGAACTTCACAGCTAGAAACTAAAAATGCAACCGCCCACGTGCCAGTTTATTATCAATTATTTACCCTCCGATTATCTTATTCAGTGCATAATAATTTCACAGCATAATAACACTGCATATAATGGGTAATAAATCTTCTTTGCACACAATACAGAAAATGTCTGTCAGAAATGTGCATTTACCACCTTTTTGTAAAATCCACTAGACATCCGTAGGAGATGTGTGTAAATGCTTCTTTGCAAAAAGCTGAAAATGTACATGATTGTTTTTTTTTTTAATTTTCCTGAGTACATTCTCTTTCAAATTATTATTTTATTTTACATATGGTGATTCTTTATTGAATGAAAGTTTCTTAAGAACTATATCCCCTTCAGTGAAATGTGAGGGGAAAAACAATGTCAGGCAATACATTTTATTGAAGTCACAATTTCTTTATGTCAATTGTTGAATGGGATTTGCACATTTGGCATAATTATATTATTTGTACATTCTGCAACACACTGTCTTGACTCTTTTTATGCCTACCGCAACATTTCAACAGGAGCTGGCCTAAGAGAAGGAGATTCTGATTAAATCAAGAAGCCGATCAGATCAATAATAAGAATCTTATTGCCTGTCATGTCTTTGTGAGGTTGTTATGACTTTGTTTAATTTCACCACAAGCAGGTCTGCCATTCATCATTTTCAAATTGTTGTGTTTGTAACAGACTTCCGCCAAAAAAAAAAAAAAAAAGAGAGAAAGTGTTTTTTTATATTTTCAATTTTATTTGTATGACATTTTATCATCTTCTATGAAATGTGAATTCATATGTTATATTTTAATGTTTCCAGAAACTGTATTAAAGTAAAATTTACAAAATGTCAAAGATTTTCAGAAAAGCCATCCTTTATAAATACTTTCCTAGCATTTATGATATCCATTTTCCTCATATCTCCTGATGGCAGGAGTAAATATTACTTGAAAATCCATTTATCATAAAGAGCAAGAAATGGCTTTAATTTGTATAAAAAAAATCAAAAGAGTAATAACTTTACCTACCTACACTACAAAAGCTTTTTAATAAAAGATATTGCCTTCCTATGTCCTTGCACTGTCAGAATCTTTACTTCCACTTAGTGTTAACATGCTGCGCACTCCTCTTAACCAGATCTCCTGCCGTCATAGTTCTGGCTGGGAAAAGAATACCTACTTCACGACCGCTCCTTAATGCAGTAGTAAAAATGACATCACTGCCTTGCAGAGTCAAGTTCAGCTCTCTCTCTCGCTCTCTCTCTCACACACACACACACACACACACACACGCACGCACGTGCACACACACATATACACACACAAACATTATCACTGTACCTGTAGCCAGTTTAATTTGCACCAAAAAGATTGGTTTCAAACACTTGCAGCAAATCTGGTCTAAACTCGGCAGCAAGAATAATTTTACATAGTGAACACCGGTGATTAATGAAGCCTTTTTTCTCCCTGATGAAGCATGTTGATTGGATAAAAATAAAAACAACACAAAATATTTCTGCTATGTGACGGAACAGTTCCTGCGTCTTCTCGCCCTGGTGTGAAGTGACAATTGCTCTGTGCTATGAGCTTAGTAATGCTAAGAAATCAGTAAGCTTGATAGATTGATTTCTCCGTGCGACTAGCGCTGATGTTGCAGCACTGTATTGTCAAAGTAACTTCTAGTTCCAATATGCTTGGCACACTCCTTTAAATACTTCTTGCAAGCATGAACATCTCCTGGAAGTGAGTGTGTGTGTATGTGTGTGTTTGTGTCAAAGGCCAAGGGTGGAGTTCACAGGCAAGAATCAGATGATGCTTTCTGATGCTAGTCACACTTGTTGTTGTTGCTGCCGGTTGCCGGAGGCTACTATTAGAACTGCGTCAGCAATGTGAGGGGCTCCACGTAATTGCTAGCCATTTGTCGCTGAACTGTCAGCTACCTTGCCATAGTTGATTAGACAAAATATGATAATAGCTACAACACAGAGCACAGTGTCTGGCTAGCCTGTAGTTAGGGAGCTGGTATACCAGGGCATACATCTACTGTGTACTGTTTAGGAATTCAGAAGCAGTCATATACATGTTATATATAGCTGGACTATAGTGAGATTGGGAGAGGAAAAAGATGGTCTGTACTTGTATTTTGTCCCATGAGGCATTTTCCCAGTGGGCTGTGTGGTTGTTTAAGCTGCTGCTTTTGGTTTCCTGGGACATTCTAAAACAGTTATTGGCTCTCATTATGGTTTGTTGTTTGTTGGAAAAGGTTTATTGAATTGATGATTATCTGGGATGCTCAATTTTAACCCTTGTTCAGCCCACATGTTAAATTACAACTAGAAAATTTCTTCTTCAACCAGACACTGTTTTTGCACTGTAAAATTGTGAAAAGATTTTTTTCTGCACTGTGATATTTTGCTGCAAGGATACATGGAGTCAGTTATTATACCTCCCGACTCTGCATTATCTGATTTTAATTTTTAACGTCAATATTAGTTTTTCATTTTCTCAGCCATGAAAATTCTTTTCATTAAAGTATTGGTGCTGAATCCTGGAAAAGTATAAATCACCTTTATTATGCTTTTGGCCTTTGTAAGAATGGACTTGGCTCCCAGTGGGATGCACATCACTACAAATAAGAATAAATTTCATATCTATCAACCAGACCGTAGAAAACGTAAAAACAATATTTAACTTATAACATCTATCGTGAAAAAAATCTTGAACAGGTCAGTGGTGTAGTATTCATGAGGTTGATGTATCCTCATCACACTTGTCAGCATGAATAAGACCTGCCATTAATTTGTTAATAAAGTTGGTGTTCATAGTCTTATTTTGATTGAATGACAAGAAAACGTTGGGTGCATTCTGAGTTCTTGTAGCCATCTGCTGAAGGTGGGATGCTCCACTTCTAAACATTGAGGTGAAAAACATTATTTAATTGAAACCACAGGACGCATTTTGCATGCATTTCTTTCTTTCATTATTTCGTGGTTTAGGAACTAAATAGAAGGAAATTACTGATCTGATTTCTGGAGCTGTTACAATTGCTGTGGAATTAGTTTTGTACAAAAAAACTTTTTAGTATATCTATGCAGCTTCCCTTTCTTTGAAATAAGATTATTTTGGGCAAAACTGTATCCATTTGTAAACACTTATATGTTATTTTTATGCTTACATTTCATTTGAGTTAGATTTAAAGCTAAATGCCTTTTTGCATTAGATTTGATATATTTTATTAATGGTATAAAGCCTGTTAGTATAAAACCAATTGTTTCTTCAGAGGCCTGTTTTATATATTAGAGACCCCATTAATATGTTGGAGCATATCAGCCTCCATATACGCCTGTGTTTCTGAGTTGTATTCCAGCAATAAGATGATCTACTAAATCAGCCTTGTGTCTCTAGCTTTCCAATTTTCAGGCCAATAATTTCATCAGATCTTTCAATTAATCATGCTCTTTCGTCTCAGCATTGCACCATGCCTAGATCATGTCCTTTTTTTGTACTCAAACACCTTGTTATCTATAAAGTAAAATGTATTGTTTGAGAAATAGTAGTTATAAACAAATTATTTTATCATAGAGAAGTAATTCCTGGATAACTCGGGCCATGTGTGTATGTGTAGGGGGGATTGGGGCGCAGAAAAGATAGGAGGTGAAAAAAATTGTCTAATTTTACAGAATGTTCAATATGAAGGTTATATGCATCAGTTTTTATTGGAGGATCAGGTCATGCCAATAACAGATCATTTTTGACTTGACATCTACTGGGGTCTAAGCTGGCTGCCTACACACGAGTCTCCTTTGTTGGTCATGGGAATCCAATATCCTTTCCAAGTTCAGCACTTAAATAAACATCATTGGACAAAAAACTGTTTTTATTACAGCATTTTATGCACTAACGAATGTTGTATAAATGAAAAAATCAACTCAGCTCAATCTCCATGTAGAATCTTTGTTCTTGGGACTGTTTTAGTTAAACCATGTAAGATTTGATATCTTTGCCTTACAAATCTTTATTATTTATTTATTTTGATAAATTATATATCCTACCTTGAATAAATCCACCCTTCTTTGTAAATTTGTGTCAAATGCTTTTAAATGTCTATCCACTGCTGTTGAATTGTCATCTCGATGGTCTGAAAGCCTATTGGTTTTAAAAAAGGTAATCTGCAGGTTCATTGGTCTGAGGGTTTGATAGTTTCATCTTGGCTTTTGTTCAGTAGGTTCAATATGGTAATCCATATGTTCATTGTTCTGAGCATTGAGTAGCATATGGGGTCTGATGTAAACCATGAGCAGTGGTAGGTAGGGATGCAGTTAGTAGGACTGGGTTCCCATGCCTAGATCGATCTAACAGGACCGATCCATCTCCAAGAAGTTTCTCGCTTAATTGCTTTTAGCTTTAGCAGCTGAGATATCTGGCACGCCTACTAAAGCTGCTAAACGATAATTAATTACCCCCTAGCAGCTTCAGTACAGACATCTAAGCTGCTTAAGTTGATTGCAATTAAACGAGAATCGCCCTTTGGAGATAGATCGATCCACAGTTAGTACGACAGCATCTGGGAATGGTCCCTATGACACTCCTGACTAAATCTCTTACCAAAAATGTTTTCCAGTTTATAAAATGATCCCTTTCTTCAAGGTTACATGCACTGATATTTGGTGGTGGTGGTGAGGGGGGAGGGGGGTAATTTTTTTTTCAAACGAAAAACAGGGAACCGAAAGACCTTCCTAATAATACAGTTATACATTATTTTTCTTTGATTTATGTCATTAAAATAAAACTAATTTGATTATTCTACAATAAATTTTGCTCTTATGGTAAATTGACAATATGGTTATCGCGTCGAATTCAATATTTTGCAATCTCAATTATAATGACATCAAGATTGTCAGCATTTTTATAGGAGACATTGTTGGTCTAGATCTTTGAAGAATGCAATCAAGCAGTTGATGATGCCAGATTGCAGGGATGTCTGCATCTGTCAGAGCTTTTTTAAAACCATGTTTATCATGGCAGTTGAGTTCATCTTGACAAAACTATTTCAAGAAAAGAAAGCAACGTCAGAAAAAACTATTCTTCTGTTTTTGTTATTGTTTTTCAGGCTAGATGTAACAAAATTACACCATTTACCTTAAGTTATGAGTTTTACACCAAGGTGTCATTGGTTACTTGAGATAACATAAGACCAAGCTCATATATTCACATATATATATAAAAAAAAAGATGTAGCTTTCCTCCTAATGCATTGGTAAATCACACTACACCCATACAATTTTGAATGTAGAGAAAATTTTAATGCTGTATGAGAATTCACAATACCTACATCAGAGAGATGCATTTTCTTCTGGTAAATGAGTGTCAAGCATTTAGTGGGAAAAGCATGATTTAAACAAAAAGCCATAAGTAGCTCTATGAGAATAGATTCTGTGGATCAGCTGTGAATCTAGCTGTGGAGCAAAAAGCAAGAAAAAAAACGCTTAACTAAAAAACATTGCTAAAACTTGGATGGCCAAGATAAATACGCTATTGACTTTTCACAGATTAAAATAAACCCCCTTAATTCCTTGGTTGTCATATCTTGCACAATGGTACCTCATAAACTACATTTTATAATAAGGTATTTTTTCACTTTAGGTAAAACCTACCTCCTACATACCCCGTCTCTCTCTCTCCTTTCCTACGCATAAAACCTAGAGATAATTTCTAACCTGCCCGTCTCTCCACTGTAACCACACACTCCCCTTATCTCCATGTCTTGGGTACAGCTGCTGTATGCTATGAGCCCCCAGTGTCCCATACATGTACTTATTTGATGAAGCCGACATTCAGACCTAGTAATAAAATCTCAGTTATAAACCTAGTTGCTGTGTGAAGCCTGCTGCTGATAAGTGCGTGTTTGGAGCTAAGTAGACGGTAATATAAATCCTTTTTCCTGAACAAGTTTCTGATCAGTTTGCAATATTCTGTAATTATATCAAATATTGCAACCTTATAAGGTTATCAAACAAAGGAAATTAAGATATTCTTTTCTGGCAGTAAATGAAATATGCTCAAATTGTTTTTTAATCAAAGTCTCATTTTGATATAGAAAATAGAGAGAAAAAACAATAAAATAGTTGTTAGTTCAGATTCAGTCAGATACTTGGAATAGGTTTCCAAGTGACTTGTTCATACAGGGCAGTTGATGATACATATTTAATTGAATTGAAATGCATCTAGTATTTAAGTGTACTTCTCTAAGTGCAGCATAAATGTTGTGTTTTGATTAAAACCCATTGGCAACAAACAATTTCATCTGGATGTCTAAAATAATGATATCCTTTATATAAAAAAATACTTTGAGTCATCTATTGGTTTTTTAAATAAAAAAATCATTCAAGTAGATCTGTTTTGATATTTTTTACAGAAGTAGAAGAAAAATAATTTGCATCCATTTTGAAGTTTTATTCTTTTCCTAATACTATATTAAAATTGCCTAAATATTTCACCAAAGGGCAGCTCGTAAAATCTAGCAGGTAAATCATCCTGTCTGAACAAAGTGCCTCAAAGTTTGAAAACAAAGTAATCTCTTAAATGGAGCTCTCTACCGAGGAAGCTGTTCCGTACGTGCTTTCTAAGAAATCCCTCTATTTACAGTATCAAATGTAGTGGCTGACTATACGCTTCCTGCGCCCTTTTATTGGACGTAATTAGTACATGCCATGGAAGCTTTTTAATGCACATTCACTTAAGCATGTACAGATGAGAAACTAACTACAGTTGTTTTTTGTCTCCATACTCGTCACTGGCTCTACCGTA